TCGACTAGCGAATGTGAACGAAATCATGTCACCACTAAAAACTTCATTAAATATAAAAACTGTTGCTGCTCTTTTATTTATTAATTGTGTTGGACCACCTCTAACGAAATTCGAACCAGAAAAATACGTTCGATCTTGGTTATTGAATGGTCGTCATTCAGCTGATGATACCGCAAGTCGTAAAAGAAACCAAAAGTGTGATAAGACATATGAATCATTGTGGAAGTTATTGTAAAAAAAATTGTATTGATGCTGTACTTTTTAAGTTATAAATATAAAATTTAAATAAAAATAATTTTATAAATTATAAGTAGTTCTTTAAACATTTTATATTTATATTTTTATTTTATATAATATATACATCCATATTCGTAAGTAAGTAAAAGAAGATAAAAATATATTTAAATTTTTAAAAGGGCTGAAATTTTAAAGTGAGTTTCATAAAATAGTAGATAAAACTTATATATTATTAAAAAAGGGTTAGTATTTGAGGAAGAAGAAATTTTAATTTTAGTTGGGTGAAGCCCCCAATTCTATGATATGTACTCAAAAAAAAAGCGTTCCGGTTCAGAAAATTTTCCATTTCGAGCACTGCTTATACTTATTATGAAAATAAATGTAAAAATATTATTAATGTTGGTATAGTTTTAAATAAAACCATGTTATATAAAAGTGCACTTTACGGAAACTGGAAAAGTATGATAACAAGATCCTCCTAGAAGATATTTGCCCCCTTGACTCCAAATGTACAAAATAGTTATGATTGTATCACCTCCTAGAAAAAAAAAAGATACGCCACTGTCTGTAATATAGATGTAATGTATATTCGAGTATTCGAATATCGGTATTCGATTCTACAATACCTATTATTGTTAAACGTTTTGTGTTGCGTGAAAACAAACGAATAATTTTCACGTATTGTATTTTAGCATCGAATACTGATATTCGAATGGTCGCCACGGACGCGTGGTTATCACATAGCAGTCCCCATCGTCGAAAGCGTATATCGAAATACCGCATTACCGCCGTAATCGCGTTGATGTTAACCTGTTTATATGTAATTAGTATTGTGCATTATTTTATATTTCATATTGTATTATCGATTTACCTATGTTCCTATAATAATGTAATATATGATACGGCTCAAGGGGGGGTGTCAAATCCACCAAACACCCCCCCCTTGTATACGCCACTGATATCTTGCAATGATTGCAAAATAACATGGCTTGCCAAATGCCAAAAACTAACAAAAGAGGACATTGCTTTTTATAATGACGAAGGCTCCTACTGAAGATGCAGCAAGTGTTCTGCAGAAAAAAGAGCTTCTTTACGAATAAACAAAGAAATTAATGATGACATAACAAACCTTATCGATTTAAAAAACATTATATTACAAGATATAGATTGTTTTGAATTGTTTAAAACAGAAACTGGGAAAAACTTCGAACTTATAAGTAACAAGATTAATACGATCGACAAAATCATAAATGATAACCAAACAATGAAAACACAAATCAACACATTAGAAAATATATGCCAATATATATAAGGGAAAATCTAACACCAAAAAGCAATTTATTGTTCAAAGAAGCTAGAAACCTCCGTAAACAATACAATTTCCAATTCGCCTGGACTAAAAACGGACAGATCTTCCTATGCAAAAATGAATCAGAGAAAATTATTCACGTTGTCAATGAAGAGGTAATTCAAAAATTAAGATTGAACTTAAACTCATTTAAACTAATTTGTTTCATATTTCCTAAATCATACACAATGTAACCAACTATCTACCTTTAATAATGTCCATGCCTGTTTGATTTTTTTACATAAATACGTACATTATTCAAAATTATTATTATATCACATAACACTTATATTTTTATTCTCTAACTACACTAACACGAAGAAGTCACTTCTATCATCTTATAATAAACTCGCATTATTAAATGTAAGTCGATTAAGGTACAATCAACTATTACAGTGGTGGCCAAACTTTTTTTTCCTCGGGTCATAAAAAACAACTTTTTTTTTATCGCGGGCCATAAAAAAATGCATTCTAAATTTTTTTTTACGTAAATGCAAAATATTACAGTTATACAAATAATTGCTCTAATATAGAAGACTTTCGCGGGCCAGATATTAAATGATGGCGGGCCGGAGTTGGCCCGCGGGCCGTAGTTTGGCCACCACTGAACTATTAGATTATCTCCATTACTACTTAATTGGGCTCTGGGTCGTTTTAATTAATCATATCACTATTTTTATAATATACCTATGACAAACAATATTGCAGATTACACTTTAGTACTAGATAATATTGATTCAATTAGTGCCACTGAATGTTCATGCGATGAACTAAAATCCATAATTTATACGAAAAACTCCTTAAATATTTTTATGTTAAATATATGCAGTATCAAAAAACACTGACGAACTATACATTTTATTAGACCATATCAACACACAATTTGAGGTAATTGTTTTAACAGAAACTTGGTTAGGACTAACACATATATCGACCAATAATTTTCAAATAGATGGGTACTCAATGTTCACAACCAAATTTAACAAAAACCAAAATGATGGAGTGTTTGCCTACTTAAAAAATACATTAGTAGGAATTTCTGTTATAGAACTAAACACTAGTACACTAACAGCTCTAGAAATAACATTCCAGATGGATAATATTGTTTTTCTAGCTTATGCAATATATAGGTCACCTAGCAATAAAGATTTAGATAAAACTCTAAATGAAATAAATGATTTAATTCTTAGAAAATCTATATCAAAAACGGCAAATTTCAAAATAATACTCGGTGATATGAATATTAACCTGCTTAGACCCTCAAAAATAAAAAACGATTACCTATTACTCATGATGGAATACGGTTAGCTAAAAATAATAATTATACAATACAATGGCCTCATAAAACAGGCACAAGAAAACAATATAAATTCGTCGGTACAAAAATCCTAAACTTAATACCAAAACACTACCATACATTAACTCTACATAGATATAAGAAAAACTTTAAGAAATGGCTTCTTTATGAATTCAACTCTAACCTATTATTATAACATACTTTTTTTTAACTGTTTGTTAAATTTATATTATTTTATCTATTTTTCTATGTTCTATTTTTTTGTTTTTATACTCTAAATTATAAGAAATCCACAGGTTTATATATCATGATTATTTTTTTTATTATTTTTTATTTTACGTTTAATATGATTCACTAGACAGTGGACATTTATTTTTACTTAATATTATATGATTAATAATTTTAAACAATACAACATGTAATTTATACACTAGTAATTAATTATACTCATATACACATAATAACTCCTAGGCCTCCACCAGAACCGAAACTAGGGTGAGGCGAGCGAGGCACTTGCCTTGAGCACTTAAAGCTGAGGGGCGCAAAAATATTAAATCATTAACTTATTTTAACAAATGTTATTTCTTTTTTTACTAGAAATCTAATAACAATTTTTCAGATTTTTCCAAATCGTATTATACATATTAAAAGCTTTGAGTGTGACAACCCTATAATCTAGGGGGTGTATTGCTTCAATTTTGCCTCAGGATAAAAAATGGCTCGGTACGGCTCTGGCCTCCACACGAGAATACTCAGTGAGGCCCAGTATTCTTATCTTGAGAAATGAATTAATAATAATAATAATATAATAATTAATAATGTTTAGTACATACAATTTTTTTAATATAACAACTTTAAGTTTTGTATAAATTAAACATTGATAGCGGCTATATTAGGCTACTTGACTTATCTGAGATAATGGCTATTTCGGGCGACCTGAACATGGTCTACTGGCTATACGTCTCAAACATTATCAGGCCACCCTGAGTGTCATTAGTATAGCTGCTACATGCCCACATTACAGACTAATTGGACGTTGGAATATAGGTATTATCATTGATTATATATACTATAGATTGCTCACTTCATCGGATCCAAGGAAGAGCTAAAGAGCTTTAGCCATTCTCTTTGGATGTGTTATATATTATATAATTATGTAATAAATATTTAACAGATGTCTTTAAATGTAGATTGATCAAAAAAAATAATGAACTAATTCATTTTTTCGTATTGGTATCTCGACAACTGAATACGGTGCCAATCAATTGAGTGCTATAATATTATACTAAAATGAAAAAAAGTCGCTGTTAGATTAGAACTGCTACATGAAATGATGAAATTATAAATTAATTTGTTTGCACTATTTTTCATTCTTTCAGTAAATACAAATTACCCTTCCTCCCATTTCATATTTCTAGATCCATCACTGAAATTATATAAATAGTAACATGATAAATTTTTTTTTTTCTTGTTTTCCATGATCTACCCCCGAAATATGAATTAATAATGAATATGCCAAACCATGTAACTAGTAGAAATTTTATGAGTTGATTGAAGTAGTAACATTTCAGTGGACTATTATTTTTAAATTTTCAAGCAATTATATAATCCATAATATTAAAAAATAAAAATTCTAACCCAAGCTCAGTTAGTTATAAAAATACGAGTACAATATGAGTGCATTATACTATGACTGATGACCTTATGGTGTGCATGCTTAATATGTTATTTTATTTACATTATATTTGCATTAATGACATTTATGAACTTAAATACTAAAATTGTTTCTTTTTTTTTTTTATAATTCATTATAATATATTTATTTAATGTTTGAAATATTAATTCTATAATGAGTTATATTAACGAAATCAGTAAAACTAACAATCAGAAGGACCTATTTATGTATTTCACTCTTGTCAAACAAAAAATGTATGTATTCTAATTTAAGTATTGGATAGTAAAATTTTTTAGAAACTTTCATTTAGTAACATAAAAAAAAATATTGAGAAGCATTGGTTTTATATTATATATTAACAATCAATTTATAAAAAAAAAAAATAAAAATAAATCAGAATTTATATATATATATATTTATTTGTTTTATTATAAAATACACATTTTAAATTATAAAAATGTAACACTAAATTTGATCATTTTTGTATGTTTAACCATGGCTATTCAGATCAATCAAGGATTAGGAAGTACTATGTGTGAACACATATTAAATACAATACATTTTCCATGATATGAATGCATTATACAATAATTAAGTTCCATTTGTTGAATGTATCTTCTTTATTGCAAATATTCATTAGAATTTCTGCGTTTATTCTTTTCTCGTTTACACTTAAACATGTCCCTGCTGCTAAATTATATAATGCTGTACCTTTCTAAGAAAAAAAAAAAATACATTTTATTAATCGAAATAATATTTATTGTAATATATTTTATTGGTCTCAAGAGTCTTTAAAAATATCAAAAAATCAAAAAAAAAAAAACCTTCAAATATTAGTATTCAGCTAAACTTAAACAATATTGAATGGCACTTAAAATTTAAACTTTTTTATGAAATGCACAGCGAATATTGGTTGCATTAAAATTCATGGTATTACAATTTTTAGAAGAATAAAATTAAAATTATTACTATTTTTAAAATTTCAGTATGAAAGTATGTGTTATATTAGGTTGACCATACGTACCATTTAAAACGAGATTGCCCCTTTTTAGATCATCATGTCCCATTATCCAGACAAACTTCGAATGGGACGCTTTTTATCCCGATTTAATGCCGTTATTTTTGTATTATTTAAAAACTATAATAGTTTTGAAATGCTACACAGTGTTGTTTGATGAATAATTAAAAGAAAATATTTTATTATTTAGGTTATTTTACTAAAAAAGGGTAAAGTAAAAATAAAATAATTGGTTGTGATATGACAGAGTTATGGAATTCAACTATAGAGATTTGTGAAAATGTATATTGTTAAGGTTTTTTTTTGGGAGGGGAGGGGAATTAACAGCTGTTCCGTTTTTTTATTTTCTTAATATGGTCACCCTCTCTTATACTAACTAGGAATTTTTAATTATTTATGATTTCATAGACATTTTAAATTTGGATATTTTGATATCTAAATTCTAATACTTCAATTTTAATTAAAAATGTATTAATTTTAAATACATTATATTTTTCTAATATTAAATATTTAAAAGGAAATATTAGAATATAGTAATAGATTAAAACGTCTAGAATACACAAGTTAATAAGTAGGTACAATGAAATTATATAATTATATATAATATATATAATTGAATATAAATTTTATAAATAATAAATATTAATCTTGATGGCTATAAGTGTAATTTTGTTAAATTTTAGCTGTAACAAAACTAAAAAAAAATCATTGACTATAAAATGTTAGCATTTATACTTTAGCCTTACAGATAAATACCCTCGAAATAGGTTAGAATCTATTAACTTTAGTTAGTATATACTTATCAAGTAGATTATCACTTATTAAATAATAAAATATTCTAAAAATAAATATTCTTCTTATGGTGCACCAAATTATATTTTTACACAGGCTAAAACATTTCAGACAACTCATACATAATCTTGATTAACCCTGTATCAATGGTACCAAAACTCAAATCATAACAATATGTATAGGTAACAAGGTAACAGATGCTACCAATACGAGACACTACATTGGAAATTATTATATTATATTAGTAACCTTAATGTTTAAACAATCAGTTACCAAACCAAATAAATATTTTTTTTTATTTAGTTATATAAAACTGTTAATAATAAAAGGAACATTTAATTTTTAGATAATAATTTTATACTTACATCATCTGAGTGTTTCCAACGTTGTGAGCTTCCTGTTTCACTGCATTTTTCTATTGCTGGTTTGCCTGAACCACTATCCAAGCATAAAAGTTTTGATAGTACTAGCTCTTCTTTGTCTGTTTCATACCATATCTAAAATAAAAAATAATTTAATAATTAATTATTAATCGAGTTATATTACACTAACTTGTTCTTTATTGCGAATACAAGATCTGAGAACAAGCCCACTGTGTTTAATCTGATGTCCTTTACTTGGATGAATACACAAATTTGTGCCACTTAAGTTAAGCTAAAAATTAAAAAATAATAATATTATGTTTTATGTTTTGATCTTAAGTTTGTACAAAATATTTACCAAAAATTTGGCTATATAGTTTCGAACACGTTTATTCCATGGTTGGAAAACTGGTTTTTCAACATTTTCTAACTTTTTACTCAATTGGTCAGCTTCATCAGTTGGTAGTAACATTTCAGGATATACATTTTCTAAGTACCAATTAAAATTTTTACACCCTAACTTGGTACGTAATGCTTTTCTTTCAGATATATCACCATAATCTAAACGAAGTAGGTCCATTCGTTTACTTATAAAAAATTTCTGTAGAATATTATTTATAAAATCATCAACAATAAAATAAAATATAAATATATATGAGTATGTGACTACTTTAAAATCATCCATCCAAACATTTGCAAGGCGTAAAGAGTTTCTTGCCATTGTGTCTTCATGATTTGGAGCTGAGTATGGTCGATGTTTCCGGAATACATGTCCAACACGTGAACATGGTTCTATATAAAGAGAACCTCCACACATCCATACCTAAAATTCATATAATTATTGTATTTAAAAATGACTTCATCAATTAGACAGATCAAAATAGATAAACTCAAATGTCTAAGATAAATAACTTACTCATGCACTATAAATCATTTAGAATAGACATGCTATCATTTATTTCTTACTCGAAATGATAATTCCAAATTTTCACCGCCCCAAATATTCATTCCAGAATCATATTGTCCAATTTCATTAAAGTAATCTCTGTTTACAGCAAAAAGGCCTCCAGCAATTGTAGGTGTTCTACAGTTTTATTAAACATAAAAAATTAAATTAAATTAAAAAAATCTATAAGTATTTAATAGAATATGAATATTACTTGATAGGTTTCACAAAATCTTTATCTGTAGTTAGAGTACCTTTTGGTAAACTATCCCATTTGAAATTTAATCCCCAATTAAAACCACCTCTAACCAAAGGAGATGATTTATATTCAAATGTATCTGGTTGAATAATATCAATAATAGGTGCAATAATTTGAGTGCGATTATTATGTATTCTGGTTAAAAGTGGTTGAATCCAATCAATATTTACTTCAACGTGACTGTCAAGAAATATTAAAACCTGTAAAATTAAAACATTGACTTTTAATGCATTAATGCAATGTTTTTAATTAATTAAAAATGATGCAATGTTATTGAAATATCATAATTATTTTTTGTAATCATATTGAAAAAAATGAAACTACAATAGTAAAAACTTTTTTTTTTTTTAATTATTTCTAAAGTGATAATTTTTTTTTAAATATTGTTTACAAAAAACGTTAATGTTTTATAATAATGGTTTTTAATTAGAATTAGAATGAAAATAAATAAATAAAAATTATGCTTAATTATATTACAGTTGAAATACTAATGGAATAAAATCTTTAACATATCTACAAAACTTATACAGAAAATCACTAACTTCTGCACAAAAGTAGTTTATCTGAAATAATCAAACCAAGTCTAACCCAATAATAACATAGGAGAATCTTTAAAAATTTAAATATAGGTATTTAAAAATGTTAAGTATGGTTTATTTATTCTCATTATTTCTTAAATAATTTCCAACTAATAATGAATTTAACCATAATCTAAATAACAAACACTAATTATACAACTGTTATAATAATGAATATAATATTGTTATTTTTTTGCCAAAAAATTGGTCCTTTGTAAATATCCACAAGTTAAAACAATTTATGAATAAATAGTTAATACAATTTAATTACTTGACCAGTCGCTAAGTTGGCCCCAAATAATCTTGCTCGAATAAGTCCTTCTCTTTTATTGGTTTTTTTAAGATTTACTACTTTAAGTAACTTTTCATCTTTTAAATACTGTTCTACTATTTCATGAAGATTTGCTAATATATATAAAAAAAAAAAAAAAAATTATAATACATATTAACAATATATACTACGGTTATATTTTACTAACGTTTATCACTATAATCATTAATTAATATCACTTCGTGTAACAGTTCCTTTGGTGTCCGTCTAATAACCGACTGAATAGTCCTAAAAAGAGCTTGTGGATGTTCATTATAAAAACAAATAACAATACTAGCAGTTGGCAAATTTTGATCGTACTGAATTACTGAGCACCTTCAAAAAAAAAAAAAAAATTTTGATTATTTCATAACTACCCTTTTATTATTCAATTTTAACTTACAATTTATGTCGAGTATCAGGTAATGACTTCCGATAGTTACCTAATCTTTGACTTACTAATGCATTAAAACCATGATCTATGTATCCTTTATCTCTTATCACCAGATCTTCATCAGTCTTAATAATTCCTAAATCTTCAAGATCTTAACACAAAAGGGATAATTAATATAATGACATTTTAAATTAGAAGAATAATTGCATTTCAAGCATATACACTAACCACTGTTGTCCACATGACTCTTAAAGTACTTAGATTTTTGTTTTTTTACATATTCAAACGTATTTTCCCGTCGATAGAGCTTAACTTGCGAGTAACTGTCTGGTTTGGTATTCAGTTTCCAGTACATGAACAGACTCAGAGACCAAGTGAGTGATGTAAACAAACAGCCGAACAAGAAAAACTTGTACCCGTTCATTTCTAATAGATTTTTGGAGCATAATACATTACCAAATTCAAAGTGACACCAATTTAATTCCTACAGGTTGTCATTGAATATTTTTAAAAATATTGTTCAGATCGTTAAATTTACAAGATATCTTTGACCGCTGTTGGAGGATGCAATTTAATCATTTATAACCTTGCAGTAAACACAACACCGACGGACTGAAACAATGAAAATACCAAACCACAGAGTAAACAAATACATTTGACGTGAACGGTACTGATGACCATGGGGCCCCAGGACTAAGATAACGATTTCGACATAACGATAACGACATGATATTGTGGTGAACCACAGATTAAGCACGGACCATGATACCATTAGTTATAGTCTATTCTATAATCAATAGTAATGATAATAAAAGTACCGAAAGGAACGAAATATCCCATCATAACCATAGGGTAATTATTCTGTGCATGATGCACAGGACTGGACACGACGAGACCGGAAGGTTTGCCGATGAAATGTCATAGAACCAGTGCTCAAAAGGGGGGGGGGGGTACGGAGGAATGGCATCCCTCTATTTGTTTTGTCTAGAATAACGTATTCTTCCTAAGACTTTTATTTTAAAATGATATACTTATTATTATTTTTATATTTATATATAAGAAATTATTTTTTTTCGGTGAAAATAATTGTTTTTAACATTCAGGCCCTGGCGCCCGGCTTATTGTGTTGTTTAGTATAAGCCGTTTTGCAACCCGTATTATACCCGAATTTAGAACTTTATTTATGGCTTTATTTTGATGTTCAACGTAATGTTGCTTTTTGCAAATTATGTAAAAAACATGCTGTAAATAATTCCGTACTATTGACAAACACAGGAGGAATTTTTATTGAATCACTATTTAATAATTTTAAAAAAGCACTGGAAAAAAATGGTAAATTGAATAAACACAACAATTCTGCATCACATATTCGCAGTATAAAACAAGAAAGACTAACGACTTTAGTATTCTCGAAAAATCCTGTTTATTGCCAAATTTTAAATCTAAATTCCGAAGAATGTAAAATCAATAGAAAACATTTCTCTCTCTTATGTCGCTGAATTTATTTTTTGGCTAAAGAAGAAATAGCACACACAACCAAATATGAACCTTTAGTTAAGCGTTTAATTATGAAAAGTAGTGAATCATTTGAAAATTGGATCATCATAAATAGTGATAGATCTACATATATTATAAAAGCTAAAACTAGTGAGCTTTTATGTTGTGCATCAGAAATATTATGTAAGAAATTAAATAATGATAAAAATAATTTTTTTAATGGCCCGATGAATGCACAAATGTTAACAATAAATCTGAAATTATCTATATGTATTTGTTTTGTTAAAAATAATCAACCAGCTTGACAATTTTTTTGGTATTAGAGATTTATCTAATACTAAGCCCATACAATCGTAAACGAAATAAGTTCTGAATTAACAAAGCACAATTTATCTTACCAAAATATTATTGCATATGGTTTTGATGGGGGTGCAAACAAACAAAAATGTCGGGAAATAAAAGTGGAGTTCGTAAACTTATTAGTGAAAAAGCTGGAAGGGAAGTTTCTTATATACATTGTTGAGCACATATATTATCACTTACACTAACTAGTATGCGTAATAAATTTCCAAAAATTAAACGCATGTTTCATGTTTTAAAAAATATTTACAAATTATTTCACCAATCGCCCAAACGCGAGGAAATACTTCACAGAGTGCAAGTTATAATTAATGATTCTATTTCAAAAATACCAGAGGCAATAGAAATCCGTTTGTTAAGCCAATATAAAATCGTCCATGCAATAAAACAATCGTATATTGCTATTGCTACAACTTGTGAACATGATGTATATGTTCATAAGATGGTGCCGATTTAACCTCATTAGCCGGTGGGATTTTGTTAACTCTCCGCGAAGAAAGTTTCATTATATCGTTGTATGGATTGGACGAAATACTAGGTGCCGTTTCTAATTTAATTTTAACATTACATGCTCCCAAGTTATGTATTTCGGTTTTACCTACTATAATTAAAAGTACGAAATATCATTTAAATCAAATTGCGGAAAGTTTAAAACAAAATGTCTATAATAGCATTATTATTAAAAATGGTACCGACATCTCAGAGACTTAATTCATTAAAAAAAAATTATGACATTAAAAATACATTAGGGTATATTTTATCATTTTTAGAACAAATAATTAAAGAGATGGATCGTCGATTTAATGATACTGCAGTAAGCTCATAGAAGGTTTTTCAATATTTGAAAATTATAGTACGTTATCAAATGCATCAGAAAAATTGATTAAACATTTGTATGACTGTTTATCTATATCTGAATATGATAAAGACTGTAAAATATTAGATTTCAAGTCTTTTAAATTTGTAGCTTTGGATTAAAAAGAGATTGGTGGAAACCCCATATCTGAACTTCTTGAAGTTAATATGGGTTATCAACATTTAAGAAAATTAGCAGAATCAGTTTTATGCATACCTATTGCCACTGCTACAGTTGAACGATCATTTAGTGCAATGAATACAATTATGTCAAAACTTCGAAATCGGATGGGACAAGACACATTCGAATATTGTATGAAAATAAGTATTGAAGGCGAAGTAATTTGATGAAGTAATTGATTTATATGCAAGAAAAAAATTCGTCGCATAAGATTAATTAAAAAAAAAATTATAATATTTAAACAATAAATATTAATCAATTATTATACTGATCAAAACATGAGTTTATATAATCCATACCAAATCACATGAAATAATAATGTATACGAATTATTATATTATTAGAGCAATACAGTTTACCACCCCATGAAGTTGCTTTACACACTTCTCCGGGAATTAGTGAAATCAACTAAAATTATTCGAAATGCGATTACTGTGTTCTTAAGACTTCTACTGATCACATACCCGTTGTTCTTCGCTCCATGTTCTTACAGTTTTACTTCGATTCCAACTCTCATCATTACGTTTTATTTTACCATTATATTATTTTCAACATATCAAATAGGTATGCTTCAAGTGGGCTATTCTGACTAAATATGTCGCAGGAGAGAAAAAACATAGAGTCAATGTTAATTATATTATGCATGAAGATAAATATAATTTCAGCGGCTTGATATTCCCAACACCGTTGAATCATAGATTAAATATATTAGTAAATTTAATCTATGGTTGAATGAAGTGAAAATATTCGAAAAAAATAATACAGCTACATCTGTAAATGTATACGGACTCGAAAAACATTTCCAACCGCCCTTGAAGTTCCCCAAACATTAAGTATTTAAGTTGAAAGTAGTCGATGAAGAGAAGGAGGAACATTTTGACCTCCTATAAATATCCGACAAATATCAAACAAAAAATTGAGAAAAACCGCCAAATTTACGGAATGTTTTTCATTGTTATTTAAAAATTAATAATCGTAAGGATTTGACATTTTTACCAAATACTAATAAGACTATTTTATATATATATATATATTAAGTAAATTTCAAACGGTTTTGAAATTTTTTGTACTATATTATATTATTATATTATATTATTTTGTAATATTATAAAAATTTGAAATTTTGAGAGATTTCTAAGTTTTTTTTTTATGTAAAATTTCAAAAATAAAATTTTTATTATCCAAAAAAGTTTAAAATTGTAATATAATATTTCTCGTACATTGTTCTTACTTGTGTGAAAAAATCTTAAAAATCTGCCGTCATAATTTTTAGGAAAAACGTTTGAATTTGAAATTTTATTAAAAATCATGAAATATGAAGATTTTTGCCTATTTTTTATAGTTTAAAATAATATAATTTCATCATTATAATATTTACTGTTTGAAAATAAGTATACTAAAAAAGGAACTTTTCAAATTAAATAAAAAAAAAAGTTACTGAAGCATTGCAAAAATATTTTTTAAGTGTTAGAAAATTATATTCTTATGAAATCGAGTGTTTCCGCGATATTGAGCAAAACATTAGTAAATATTGTGCAAAGCTTAGTACAATAAAAATATTCAAATTTTTTTTTTTTTTATTTATTAAAAATTAAAATGTATCAACATATTACATGTTACAACAAGTTGGTTATAAATAAATAACATTAACAATAGCAGTTTAATCCAGAGTTATATATAATAAATATACTGTGTGTTTGTGTTATTGATGTACGGAATAAGTGGTGTGTGTGTGTGTGTATTATGGAGTAGGAGTTATAGGGAGTGTTATTTTGTTTATTAGGGATTTTAAAACAGTAAGAAGGGGGTTAAGTATAGATTTTAGTTCGTCGAGGAATTTGGTGATGATGTGTAGAGATTGATCGGGTGGTGGTCTGTTAGCGTTTGAGTTAGAGTTTGGACTGGAGGCTTCATTTTAATATTCAAATTTGCGTCTTATACTGCGGCGAATGAAATGTGTTTTTAACAAATATATTACATTAAGTAAACGTAATACAATTATGATTATAATTCCACTAAAAATAAATATTTTGTGGATGTTTATGAACTTAAATTGTACAGGGGAAATTTAAATTTTAAATAATATAGTTTCTTGCCACAAAATCAAGTGTAATTTGTGATTATCTATAGTAAACTTATAATTTCTTTACTCGGTACAGGATGTATACGTGAATATTATTCTACTAATTGTTTGATTTTCTGATTTTTTTTCTTTTTCGACTAATTTAAAACATACTTAACGATCGTGTTACATGTACAGTTAAAATACAATAATGATTTCCAAGTATTTTACAAGCCGTTTTGAAATACCTATACAACCGACACGATGCCGATTTTGTTGCTAGGGCGCCCGTACAAAACGATATTAAAAACGATATTAAAAAAAAGGCGTGTCCACGTATGAATACATTTTTAGCGAATTAAATATTTATGTCCACGTCAAACGAATACAACCCATTAATGCAACTGTCGATAAACTAAAAATATATTAAACAAGGCCCCGAATGTCCAGAACAAACAGAAAATCGTGAAAAACCGATGACGAACAGGTGGTTTACGGGAGGAGGGTAAGGTTCACGTAATTTCTGTACGGTACGCGAACGTTCTAGAGTCAAGAACGTAGTTAGTTGATAAACAAACGAGTGTGTTAAGTTGCGGCGAAGCGGGACGGGCGGCGCGGCGACTCGAGTTTTCTCGAATATTCCCTGGACTATATAAACGCGAACGGCGCGCTACCCCAAAACAGTTGTTACGTGAACCCGTGACTCGTACGAAGTATTCGTTAGCGCAACGCTATTCGTAGGCGTTTCATCATTAAATTCGTTGTAAGTCTTATTGTTCGACACGTGTGCACTGCATAACTGCTCGGCTGGACTGTGTATTTTTTGGAAATCTGAAATTTATTCGTGATTTTCGAACGCGTAATTAACGTAACCCTACGGTACAAACGATGGCAGCGAAGACGGCAATCGGTATCGATCTCGGGACCACATACTCGTGCGTGGGCGTGTGGCAAAACGGCAAGGTGGAGATAATCGCCAACGACCAGGGCAACAGGACGACGCCTAGCTACGTGGCGTTCACGGACACGGAGCGGTTGATCGGCGATGCGGCCAAGAATCAGGTGGCGCTGAACCCCAAGAACACGGTGTTCGACGCGAAACGTTTGATCGGCCGTCGGTGGGACGACGAGAAGACGCAGGCGGACATGAAGCACTGGCCGTTCGAGGTGGCCAACGATAGCGGCAAGCCGAAGATCCGCGTGTCGTTCCGCGGCGAAAGCAAATCTTTCGCGCCCGAGGAGATCAGCTCGATGGTGCTGGCCAAGATGAAGGAAACGGCCGAGGCGTACCTGGGGCGGGCGGTGACAGACGCGGTGATCACGGTGCCGGCGTACTTCAACGATTCGCAGCGGCAGGCGACCAAGGACGCCGGGGCGATAGCCGGCCTGAACGTGATGCGCATCATCAACGAGCCGACGGCCGCGGCACTGGCCTACGGTCTGGACAAGAACCTACGGGGCGAGAAGAACGTGCTGATATTCGACCTGGGCGGTGGCACGTTCGATGTGTCCGTGCTGCAGATCGACCAGGGATCGATATTCGAGGTCAAGTCAACGGCGGGTGACACGCACCTGGGTGGCGAGGACTTCGACAATCGGCTGGTCTCGCATCTGGCCGATGAGTTCATGCGCAAGTACAAACGCGACGTGCGTGGTAACCCGCGCGCACTACGACGGCTGCGCACCGCCGCGGAGCGGGCCAAGCGCACGTTGTCATCCAGCTCCGAGGCCACCGTGGAGATTGACGCGCTGCTCGACGGCGTCGACTTCTATACGCGCGTGTCCCGCGCTCGGTTCGAGGAGATGTGCGCGGACCTGTTCCGGTCCACGCTGCAGCCGGTAGAGAAGGCCTTGCGGGACGCCAAGCTGGACAAGGGGGCCGTGCACGACGTGGTGCTGGTGGGCGGCTCCACCAGGATACCCAAGATCCAAAGCCTGTTGCAGAACTTCTTCGGCGGCAAGACGCTCAACCTGTCCATCAACCCGGACGAAGCAGTAGCGTACGGCGCAGCCGTGCAGGCGGCCATCCTGGCTGGCGACACCAGCTCGGCCATCCAGGACGTGTTGCTGGTGGACGTGGCACCCCTGTCGCTGGGCATCGAGACCGCGGGTGGCGTCATGACCAAAATCGTCGAGCGCAACTCTACCATCCCGTGCAAGCAGACACAGACGTTCACCACGTACGCGGACAACCAGCCGGCCGTCACCATCCAAGTGTTCGAGGGCGAACGGGCTATGACCAAGGACAACAATTTGCTGGGCACGTTTGACCTGACGGGCATACCCCCCGCCCCACGCGGCGTGCCCAAAATCGAGGTCACCTTCGACCTGGACGCCAACGGTATACTGAACGTGTCAGCCAAGGACAACAGTTCCGGTCGGTCCAAGAATATTGTCATCAAAAATGACAAGGGCCGTCTGTCCCAGGCCGAGATCGACCGTATGCTCAGTGAGGCGGAACGGTACAAGGAGGAGGATGAACAGCAGAAGCAGAGGATCACGGCCAAGAACAAGTTGGAGAGCTACGTGTTCGGCGTGAAACAGGCGTTGGACGAAGCGGCCGACGGCAAGTTGACCGAGTCCGAGAAGAACGCTTGCAGGCGGGACTGTGACGCGGTCGTTCAGTGGTTGGACTGCAACCAGTTGGCCAGCAAGGAAGAGTTTGAGTTCAAAATGAAGGAGATTCAAAAGAGTTGTTCCGGTGTGATGATGAAATTGCATGGTGGCGGATCTCAAACGCCATCCGGCGGTGGTCCAACAGTGGACGAAGTCGACTAATACATCAAAATCCCACTTATTATAATGACCTATTTTTCTTTGAACGCCTACTTCGCGTGTACTTATTCCTATCATACACTTTTTTCTTATAGACTGATTATGTAATGTAACATAGAGTTTCTATTACTGTGCTGATAAACTATTTAGGGTATATATGAACTTTTAGTTGTCACGTTTTTTCCATATTTATGTAAGCAGTAGTAGTTTGGTGTTCACATAAATAAAAACATTATTTTGAGTATTATTAAATGATTCTTTTTTTTTTTTCCTTTATAAATATTCCTTTTTATACCATTTCATTATAATCAGGGCTCGTAAGTTCATTCACTTAAAAATGCATAAATAAGCATGCAATAATGCACTTAAACTTGGTAAAATTTGCATTCAAATATGCACTAAAAAATACAAAAATATGCATTTTTATGCATTAAAAATCTTGAACTGTGCTCAAAAGAAATATAGCGACTACTCACGTTCACAATATATATGTTGTAACGAAAATAAAGTGATAGATTGCAATGAGCACGTCATTAGGAGGAGGGTGGTAGTGGTGCCCAATAACATTGTTTTCGTGGTATTACTTTTAACTCATAAAACTCAGTGTCGTACAAAAATAAAAATAATAGTTATCAAACGCTTTTTGCTCGGTCTCCGTCCATACCCATTTCAATCCTTGCTTAAATCTGTTGTCAAGGGGGCGACGGCATCAGCGTAATTGTCTACAAACTGACTATACCAGTTGCATATCCCCAAGAACCTCCGTAAGTCCCTAATTTGGTTTGGTACTGGAAAATTTTTGAAGCACTCTAATTGCTCCGGTTGTTAATGAATACCCTCCGAGTCGACCAAATGTATTAAAAATGAGATTTCGGTGGATCCGATCCTACTTTTCTTAGTATGGCAAGTCAATCCGAATTGCATAAGTCGTTCGAGAACTTTGTCCAGGTGGTATCGGTGTTCGTCCAAGTTTTCGGAAAAAATAACAATATCGTCCAGGTAAACTTGAACGAGCTCGTCCAGTTATCCACGTAGAACTTCGTTCATTAACCGTACAAATGTCATGGTGCTATTTTTAAGACCGAAGGGTAGTACTCTGAATTGGTATAGCCCTCTACAAGTCCGGAATGCTGAATATTTCCTAGCGTTCGGGTTAAGCGGTAACTGCCTGTATTGAGACTTAAGGTCCAATACGCTAAAAATGTTCGCCCCCCCTCTTTTGCCGAATTAACTTGTTTAAATCTGGCATCGGGTAAGCGTCAGACTCGGTTAGGTCGTTCAGTCGTCTGTGGTCAATGCAAAAGCGGGAAGATTCATCTATTTTCTTAGCTAAGACGACCGGGGCTGACCTTAGGGAAAAATTTGATTCCACTAGTCCCTGTGATTCCTTGTCCCTAATCATATAATCATCATAATACTCGGTTACCGAGTCTCGGTAGTATAATGGTAAGTATCCCTGCTTGTCACGCGGGTGACCGGAGTTCGATTCCCCGCCGGGGAGCCAATTTGTCGTGTACTAAAAAAATCAGTGGAGCTGAATAAGTTAACACGAGTATTCAGGGTCGAAGTTTTCGTATTTATTCGTAGAATAAACAAAAATTAAGGTGGTAAGATGAAAATCAAATGATGCATAAGAATTGAAAAAAAATGTTAAACAATGAAACAAAAACAGGTGCGCGCGTATATAAAATCGAGGTGTCCCCTCGTATGTGGTTGGAAAAGAACAGGCCGAAACGAACCGGTTCGATAGTCTAGCCGTGCGGACGTCATCGTGACCGCTCGCGTCCCCTGTCCGTTAATGGGGGGACGGGGTGTCACGGCGACGTTGCGTACCGCGGTCTGATGGTTGATGAGAGAGATAAAGGAACGGTCGGCAACAGACGTTTTGATAACGGCTGTCGCACGAGTCCGTGTCAATAACCCCAGTTCGATTTTGCCGGTGTATACTAGTTGCGGTCAAAATCAAAAATAACGTACTAGTTGCGGTCACTCAACATATATATCTAGTATATATAGTATATATCATGGTATTTTATTTACAAAAAAGTTTCAACATTTTCCTTTCCATTTTATAAACAGACTTAGACTGTCTACACTATTTTTATTGTGTAGGTTTGAAATCACAGTAGTAATTGTAAAAAGTCACGCGGCAACTTCGGATGAACATTCATTCTTGCAGTGTATATATTTTTTCTAATCAATGTGACGCCATTTGACCCCAGTACACTGAGTACTGTACTTGAAATCTCAGAATAAAAAATGTTGAAGGGACGCTCGCTCAACTGCTTCACTGCTTTACGTTTAACACTGTAACTAACCTTTTGTCGTACCATTGATTGGTGATCATCTAGTTCGTGATTATACTACTATTGGAGGGGCGTATAGAAAGGGCGATGTGGGGGTCAGATCCCCATAGGTCTTTTAAAAATTGTATAAAATAGTGTTCTTAATATAAGGAAATTATAAGGAAACAAAAAAAATATTTCAAGGATTTTGTAAATTATTATTATGACACATTCAATATATATATATATTTTATAAATTATTATTTTGAATGTGCAAGTCCTTTGGCTTAGGAATTTTTCTTCCATAATAATTTGTTTTCGATTGATCCCCCCCCATACAAAAGTTATATGTACGCCACTGTACAATTTTATCTATTTTATTTACAAACTTTACAGATAAGTAATAAGTATATGACCGCAATTAGGATATTACCTACAATTAGCGTGACCGCAACTGTTATATGTCTTTATTTCAAAAATCGTCTCTGACCGCAACTCGGATGCAGCCGATTTTGCATACCAATCATAATTTCCATTTTCGTATTATTTCATCAGTTAAAGATGTTGATGAATATATGCCAGCAGTGCTTCCAAGTATATTTTCATCAATAACTGGTAAGTGTATAACATTACTTTCATGTTTTTTCTGTGGAAGGAACAAAATTAAAATGTTTATAGTATGAGTGTTATGGGCCAATTAATTGGTAAAATATATTAATAATCCAATTTTGTATTTTAAATACTGTGCAAGATGATTTTGCAATAAATTTAGGAAAATATGATTTTGTATTTGGAAATGACTAAATCTGTGTTGATGGGACCCATGGTTTAAACTTTAAACAGCTAGTTACGCTTTTATAATAAAAATATTAAATATTAAATCTAATTATAACATTTGTATTATATTTTTGCTTGAAATATTCGCAATGAATTGTGTATTTTTAAACTTTAAATTACGATATTGTGTTTTTTTTCGAATCGTGTATTATTAAATTTATTTAACTATTTTAATTTAAATTTAGCTATATATAAAATCATTATAATGAAAATGATGTTATCATTTTATCAATATTATCACTAAAGACCGGATTTATATTCTCTCAAAATACCTTAAATATGATGCTAATATTCTCTAAAAAACCTTCAAATATTCTTATTATATTCTCTTAAAAATATGTAAAAATATTCGAAATTATTCAAAAATAATCAACAAACATCAATATATGGTTTAAAATGCATTTTTAAATTTTTTTTTTTTTAAACATTCTTTTAATCATAAGATATATACGTAGTTGCGTATTATAATAGAATACTATTGTACTTCAGTAAGAATAGGAATATAGTAAAAATATTACAGTATAGTCTATAGCAGGGATCGCCAACGTTTTCAAGCAAGTGAGCTACATTTGACATTTAAGTCTCTAGTCATTTACATCCAGGAAAATTTAGGTCTTTAATCTTTAATTCTAATATTCCATTATCCAATTAATCTGATTATTTTACGCGATCGACCGATAGTGGTAAATTTACAACGATCGACTGATTGGCGATCCCTAGTTTACAGTATAAAAATTTAAAAACAATATTCCTTTGGTATATTTTAATTAAATTTTGTATTAGCACTATTGACACAATATTAAAGATAACAAATAACCATATATATATATATTAAAATATAATAAAACAAAAAAAAATGGTTAACAACAGGTAATCCTTAAATAATAATAATTTAATACAAAATATAAAATAACAATATAGGTATATATATGTATAAAAAATAATATTTCTTTGGTGCATACAATGGTAAATATTTACTTTCTGGAGAATAAAAAAGAAACTTGAAATACTATTTAAATTTTATTATATGAATTAACAATAATATATTTTACATATTATCTGTACTCATGTTAGTTCTTCTATCGCTAAAAATTGTTTATAGAGACTAAATGAACGTTCAACATCAACAGATATTAGAGGTGCAAACTTCATGTCAACAACTTCATTAGGTGTAAAATATTCCGGGAGATCTTCATTGTTTCCACATAAAATGTTCCCCCAACTTTTACTAACATTTGGTAACCTTTATTTTTTTAACTTGATTGAGACACTTTAGTATTTTTATTATGTTACCCGTTTCACCAGGTATATTGGTTAGTTTGTAGATAACAGTTTGTACAATATCCAACTATGAAAAAAAAATCAAATATTCTAAAATATATTAAATGGGCTAAATATTCTCTAACCTATGATATATTCTCAAATATGCAAAAAAAACTTTTTTCTACAAACTCAGAATTGAATGAGTCGTCCACATTTTTTATTTTCATACAAGGGCATATTCCAAGTAACGATATGTAAAAACATATAAATCCGGTCTTTAGTTATCACATTTTGGTAGCTACAAAAAAAAGGGGCTAAATGTAGGCAATATTGTATAAAGACACAAAACATTTTTTTCCTGCGGAGATCCATTCCTATATATTATATACTTATTTCTCTACATACCAATTGATTTTTGGTCTTGGGTGACGACCATACATATTATGTTTCCACGATATGTTGACCACGCGGCGTTTGTTATTGCCAAGATGTTATCATAATTTTACTTTTCGAACGTACCAAACACAAAGGTTATTTATTTAAAAATACGAATGACACGTGTTGACTTGTCAGACTCACCTTCCTATCCTTCCACAAAAATTGTTTTGCACACACAAATATTTACATACAGCCGGCCACTTCTTGAAACTCGTTAGTCGTAGTTGGTTAGTCCGTACAGTCTTGCGACGCAAATAACCGCAAAATCTCTGAAGCGTTCCACGAGCTCTATATTTGCAAACCGACGGTCTATCTTGTCGTTATATTTCAGTTTTGTAAGTCGATCCATACAACAAAAATGCAGGTAATTTTAATAATAGTATAGTATAATAGTAGTAATAGTAGTAAATAGGCTTAATTAGTAATTTAATTTTATGAACATTTTGTTTTAAATAGTTTGATTATTGCAATAGTTTAAAATTACAATAAAAAAATAACAATTTATCGGATGTTAATAATTTCTTTGTGAAGGAAATTACTTGTACCTACCTAAAATGTGACAGCTGACAATAATGTATAGGTAAATGTTAATATACCATATATGTAGTGTGCTATAATATTATTATAGTAAAATAAAACAAGTTATTCGACCGCCGCGCCGATAAATAATATTTATGAGAAAAAATTACGCCGTTGAAAAATCATAATGACTTATTTTCATAAGCGGAAATTTGGTGAAATTAGTGGGGGGGGGGGTTAAGCATTATTTGCTCATTACACCTATAGATATCCATATACACAATTATTTATTTCAACAAGGCAATTTACAAAGTTTGACAATTTGACATACTCAACAATTTAACCAAAAAAACAATTAAGTGCCTTTAAGATAAGTATTTTTGGAGTAGGTATTCTAAACAGAAATTATTAATTAATTAAATTGAACAACCAATGCAGGTATTATTACATTAATTACGATCGTTCCAAGTCATGACAATAAGTTGGTAAAATCTTATGAATTTTATTTAATTTTTATCATAGAATATTTATTTATTTTTATTCAGTTATTAAAAATGCATTTTACAATTATAATAATTATTGTATTTTTAGTCACTTAACAATTTTTAGGGCTAGGGATCTAAGATATATACCTTACATTAGTGGGGGGCTTAGTCCCCTTAAGCCCCCCCCCCGATTTCCGCCTGTGTTTATTTAAAAAAAAAATGTCAGATAAGTTAAACGAATATTAATTGGTATTTTTATTCCTTGGAATTAATTTCTTAACTCATTATTACCGGCAAGACATGATATTTTAAAATTATTATTTATTTTGCTTTCCATAAAATAAAAACCCAAATTTTATGAATATTGATTTGAAACGCAATGATTTTGATATGACAAACATTTAAATAAGGTGATTCAAATGAAATATGGAATTAATTCTATTACCCATGATATTTATGTTCCGAAAATATTAAAACACTCTTTATTTTACTAAATATTTCCATGTCTTTATAAAATCAGCAATAATCACCACCGGTAATTTACAAAAACTAGCAAAAGAGTTACCCTTTACGGATGTACGAACACTTTGGAAATACATTTCTTGTTTTCGTAACTAACAACCATTAATATAAATGCGTTTCGTATTAATATACTAACTATAAGAAAAGACAATGTGACGTAGGTCTTTCATTGTAATAGTCTTATATATGTTATGCATAAATTATAAAGCAAAAATATATTTTCTTTTTAATGAAAAATTTAACATTATTTCCCAACTGTTTGGTATATTATATTATTGGGAAAAACGGTTGAAAATAACAATTTTTTCTAAAGTAGGTACCATACTATAAGTCCAATTTCTGAATTTACGCTAAATGAGGGATATAAAATATGTGATTTATGTATATTGTGTAAAATTAATTTATTTAAACTTTAAACTATACTTTACAAATTTTTATTTTCATACGCGATAAATATACTTTCTTAATCTTATTACATCTTAATATTTGCATTTTAATGTATATAATTTTAAAGAGATATATATTTTTTTTTTTTGAAGGGTCTGTGGAATTCAATTATTGTTTTCATGGCATTGATAATTTGCATAAGTGCACAAAAGCCATTTTATGCATCTGGTAATGTGTACCCTGCTGTTTTACCACATCATTTACCAAGCAGTACAGATATCGATAATAGATTTAACGGAAACATAGACACAACAACTGATCCATATGCGGCATTTGAAAAAGATCCAAAGTATAATGTCGATAAACAATCCATCGAAATAATTAAAACGTATCCGCGGGATAAGCAACCATTTTGGTATATAAACGCAGATCAATTAAATAATTTTAAAGGCCGCCCGCAACGAAATGAAACTACCACCGCGGCCACAACGGGTACAACGTCCATAACGACTTCAACGTCTTCAACTACAACAGAACAATAAAATAATTTACAATATAAAATTATATTTATATGAAAAATAATTCGATAAAATTAATTGGATTATAACCACCTGAAACTTAGTACCAGGCAACTCATTTATCAAAAATATAATTTTAATGACTTAAAATACTAAAGTACCTTAATTTGTTGTTACTTGAATAGTGTACAATTAATTTATGGTTTTAATATGTTTATAAATAAAATTAAAAATCGTTTCATACATTTTTACCACTTGATTTTCAAACATTTGGAATATTTTCCAACATCATAATAACCTTAAACCATTGAGAGTTGTGTACAGTGTCGCTAAAACTATGGACCAAAAAAGTAGATTATAATAAGAATAAAAAAAAAAAAAACATTAAAATTATATTTACAGTGAACTCAGTTGCATATTTACGAAAAATTGATAGCTATACTTTTTTTACATGGATTCTGATTAGATCCTTTTTCGAAATCCTAACTCTAAAATTGACCAACAAAAAAAATTGTAATAACTTTGCTGTGTATACTTCCTACTTCATAAAATATTGGTCTTCTATATAATTTTATATTATAGCTAAGTATGTATGTGTATTATAATATTTATACCAGTGGTATACCCGGGATTTTATTACTGTGAGTCAGCCTAACTCAGAAGAGGCCATGTCGTGTAGCGTCAGTCATCTATATTCTATGTACTACAAATTTGCTCGTTTCGCTCGCAAATAACGATTTACTTTATTTGTTTCATATATTGATTTCTAATATATATAAATCACTTTTCACAATAACGAATATTACAGATAGAAAAAATTATAAAATATAGGTATAACAATAAATAAGAACTTATAAATACAATAACAAATATTACAATAATTTTCTTTGATTTTTCTTTACAGAAAATTAATAAAAAAAAAAGAAGACATTTTAACCAAAAGCTTTAGTACATGTTTTGAACATAAATAATTTGGCTGTTTAAAATTTTATTAAAACCTATTTTATAACGTATTTTTATAAAAAATAAATTTTAAATTCATTTTTTTGTTAAAAAATGTTCTTAAAATGTTGTACAACCCCATTTATTTATTTTAAATGCATACCAAGGATAGAAAAAGTTGATGGATTATCTTCTTCACAATAATTATTGCCATAGATCAGGGGCAGTCAAACTTTTTGCCCGCGATCAACTAAAAATATACTTCACCTTTGAGAATTAATTTCCATAAAAAAGTTTTTTTCTTATTTTGCGTGCCGTCAGTTCAATCGTTAAGGTTGTCAAATAATAAGTCAACTCATAAAATTAACAACTGTTATAATATTTATTTAAGTTTACGTATTTGTATACAAGAAATAATTTTAAGTTAAATACTTATTAGTTAATATGTTTTAATTCAACTGGTGTGAAGGACAGGACAGGACAGGACTAAAACACATCTTAATAATGGTTTGTTCGGGACTACCTTATAAACCCCATTATTATGGGATATTTGGCCGGGACATAGTTTCTAATGATATTAATATTCTAGACCCCTTCGAAAAGAATCTACTATCAAATTTTATAATGCCTTATAAGCAAGGCTGTTCAGAGGGGGGGGACAACGGGACCATTTTGCCCCAGACCCTGTTGTTAGAATATTTTGTAGGGGCCCCCATAAAGTTTTGATGTAAAATAATCAATAAGAAAGCTTCAATCACACAGTATTACACGCTGCGTGTCGACTTGTTCGATTATATTGAGCGATAAATACCATTGATTATGAATAAATAATAATAATAATAAAAATAATCAATGATAATACAAATAATATTAAATTCTATTATGCACGTATGTAATGCAATACATGAATTTAAATGAGCTACATTGGTTAAGGTTTGGAAAAATACGTTTGCAAGAATTTTGTTTATCATATCTTATTATTACGGTCGAAGGGCCCTCAAATTATTTTGTCCCTGGCCCCGGAAAACCTTGGGACGGCCCTGCTGATAAGAGCATGTTTTTGATATTGTTTCGGTCATTGCAAACTATGCCAGTTTTATGACCTTATAAAGGCATGTTCTTGATGTTGTTTCGGTTTTTGCAACAATGCCAATTATTTGTGACTCCTCTGTAAGATTTGAATATTCACAAGGACATATATTATATATGCCCACAACGTAGATATCATGGTGTTTTCACATATAATGTAATTTGTATTTGCGTATGTAATAATGTATATTATAATGTAAGCCCCAATGCTATTTATGTGGACCCCCTATGAATTGGTAGTCGTAAGGACCTACATTTATGTATGTCTATAACTCTTGTTAAGTATCTATATTTTTTGTGTACGTGGTCTAAAAATCAACTTTAACACGATCGACTTTGAAATCGTTTTGCGAACGATCGTTTGGCCGCCCCTGTTGTAGATGATTTCTGTTAACAAGATACCAAATTTGGTAGGTATTAGATTTAAGGAAAGACAAAATACTCTGATTTCTTTTAACCACTTTTTGTTTTCCTTTGAAAATACACCTTTTTCCACAGTCTTATTTATTTAATTCGACGTTTCATAATTTAACCAAAAAAATTAGTGAAATATAAAGCCCGATTCACATTAAAGCAACATAGATCGCTATGTAAGATGCCTAAAATTTCCTCTTGTTCCATAACACGTGAAAACGAATTGGAACATTGATAAACAAATGGTAAGGTAAATACTAATGTTACTGTTTGGTCCACACACAAGCAACGTGTTGATAACAAACAGTTGATAAACTATATGACACGTGACTGAACTGAGTCCATACTGATCAACATGTTGCCTGTTTACCAATTTATTATATTGTGTTGTTGTACTGTTTCGCTTTCAATCGCTTGCATCAAATTATTGATAAAACATTTAATAATTTCTGGAAATATATAACAACTTTTGTAGTGTCAACATATTTCGACTTAAAAAGTTGCAATATGTTGCCTTAGTGTGGACCAGACTTAATAGTACAATAAACACTCTGAATGTCCTAAGTCCATAATGATGGACTTTGTACACTCAGACTCAAAATCATTGAATGAGGAATTAATCATGATTGGTAAATTGGTAAATATAACTCATACAATTGTATAAAAATAGAGTAGGTGCATTATTAAATGTATTGCGACTATAAATGTGAATATACTAATGTAGCTATACGTACTTAATTTAAATAAGCGCTTGTAATATTATGATTTACAATGATATATGACAATAAAAATATATGACGAGGTATTCAAACTGTGCGTCGCAGCTCCCAGGGACGTCGCGTGAGTTGATAAAGGGAGCAGTGGAAAAAAAACAGGATTACTTATTAACGTAGAGTACTTATATTTACTGGATAATGAATAATAGTTATTAGTCGTTGATACACTTTACCACTGATTGTCTGCGACCTACGATGCTATTTTCTGGTTATAAAATATAAAAAAAATTTTAATTTAATTTATATAATTAATATTATATATATCATGGTCTCGTTTGAACTGTAGTACAGATGTTTAACTTTCAGATTTATTTTCGGAATGTCATGACTAAATTTTGCTTCCAATATATTACAAAACAATTTTAATTTTTTAAGTAGAAAAATGTATTATAAAATTATAACACCGGTGAGAAAATTCATGAGGATTTACCCATAAGTATCACAACATAACGCAATAATTTAATGCACTTGAAATTGTTCACAAGCCACTTACAAGGAACAAGTTATTCGATTATAAATTTATTTGATTATTCTAATTTAATGACGTAGATAACAGGAATAATTCTCGGTAATTACGCGGAAAAATAATTATGTTGACTACTCGTATGTTTGTAATCCCGCCTTGACGTATTCAAAATTTAATTTATACTACCTTTGAAATAAATTTAAGACGGGCGTTATATATTTATGAAAGTAATTCCTACATACTTATGTTATTTATAATTTAATATATTATACTTCATACTTTGTACTTTATTTTGATAAACGAATTTAAAACATTATATAGCTGCTAAATAACACGTAATTAAATATAAAAATTAATGAGTTAAATAAAAAAAGGAATTGTAAAATTGTTTTAAATTCTTAGTTATGTGTACTTGAGATCGATCAGTCCTATTTTTCAAATATTAATCCATAAATCCGACAAATTTGATTTGAATATTTTAAAATTCAAGAATTTTTAAATGTTGATGGTTCAAAATTAAAAACTGGAAATGTGGCCTGATTAATCTCACGTAGAAAAATAATGAGTTCAAATAGTTTTATAGAAATCTTATCCAGTGCTCGACTTGGCAAAATTAAAGAAGGGGGACTCTATTTACTTTAAAAAAAAGAACATCCCCAAAACTGGCTGAGCGTTATGATTATAGCGTAATAATAGTAGGGGGACGCTAAAATTTCTGAAAATTAGTTGGGGTACTCCGTCCCCCTGCGTCCCTTCTCAAGTTGAACACTGATCTTATCGCATACTAGGTTGATCGGTGGGATAGACAAAAAATTCACACAAATGATTCATGCATTATGGACTAGAGCTCTGGAATTTGAAAGTGTGTTAAGATTCAGGTGTATTTAATTAGTAAATCACGAATATTTACTTTACGAGTGCTTAAAACAAAAACCAAAAAGTAAAAACTAAGAATATTTATACCTACTATTCTAAAAAAAAATTTTTCATAAACAGTATTACGCCTAGTTTACACAGTGCATAATATTTGTCACTCGTACTACTTGTCACTTGTACTAATCATCTAGCGGACACACGCACAACTGATTTATGCATAGTATTTGTAAATAGTAAATAATAAATAAGTGATAACATAAAGATATAATTTATTATTATAATGAATATTATTAATTAAATACATAATAAATATAGTCACCAGACGCTAAGCATTAAATTAAATGGACCGTCGAAGTATTCTAAAAGTATTATTCAAATATAATAATATCAGCTTTAATAGATGAACTGGAAACTGAATTAAATCAAAAACAAAAACTAATATGCACAAGGAAATGGCTCCTTCTAAGAGATACACATGGTAATTTAGTTGGATTATTAAGAGAACTTGCAACAGAAGATAGATCAGAGTATAAAAGTTTTATGAGGATGACTATGGAACGTTTTGTAACGTTCCGTTCAACTTTAAAATATCAGTAACCTTGCTCCTACGATTTCTCGATAGTCGATTGTACTCGCATTTTTTTTTTTTTTTTTTGTGGCATCGCAAACTTAAATAGAAGTTTAATTTTTAATTTAAATATTTTACCCATAAACCTAACTTAATCTTACTTCCTTATCCCTACCAAACACCTGCAGAAAATGCTCATTTTTTCTAAATTCACAATCCACCCTGAAAACCAATTCTGGTTGTGCCACTAACCGATAGTAGTACTATAGTCGAGAGCACGAAAAATGAGCGTTGGTAACCGCGACCCGTTGTTCGTACCCACTGTTGTAACCATTGGCTCTCAACTTTGTGCTGTCATGCTGCCGTTACGTATCGTATTCACGGGCACGAATAATGAGCGATAACTACAGATATAGGTATATGTATATATAGTTGTTTTATATATCTGTGGCGATAACATGAACAATGAGCATAAATTTGATAATAACCACTTTAAAAAAACAGGCGCTTGGTACATGACGAATAGCGATCATTTTTCGTGCTCCCGACTATAATACAATCACCATGCGTTGCGAGTGTAACCGCGAGTAGAGTAGTCATGGAGAGATTAGTTACTAATCATTAGTAAATAAAACGACGTTTTATTCAAGCTGCGGTCGCACGATGATAGTTATTATCATGAGAATACGTTATAGTATATAAAAAATTTTAATGTGTTCACACGAGCGGTGTATGAGGTGATAGTGAATTTTGATAGTAGATGGAACATTGAGATCAGTGGTGTAGTTACGAGGAGGATGTAAGGGGTTTCCACCCCACCACAGATTTTTGCATTCGCAGTTTTACTGATCCATTAATTTTAGGCACGAACTAAGATTACAACATAGTTCGTGATTTTAGAATATACAGATAAGCGGTACCATGTAACGACCGGTTCCGCGATGGCAACTGCTACAGAGCGCTGTAGTATGGTTGGTGGGTATCATGAAACGGTTACGTCAGGGGGAGGGATTGTTGTAGATAACCATGCACGCGGTACACGGTGCTCTTACAGTTATAATGTGCATTACTGCAGTGTAGAGTAATTATTGTGCACACAAATACTATTATTTATTGCAATTATTATTGTTATAACACGACATATTGCAAGCTTATTACCAAAATAAAACCAAACAAACCAATGGCCATTTTATTACACCAAATGTATGGATAATAAGCAGATTCTTTCAAGTTTCACTTGTTACAGACGTACAGTTGAGTTGGATGTGCTGAACGTGATTTTACACCGCCTTAAATTCCATTATAATTTTTGACATTTTATAAGATTGCTATACTTGAAATATATATATATTATTTTATTATTCATTATTTTTATTATTATATAATTGATAATACCTGGTAGTATGAGCCAATATTCTAACTGTATTAAATCCTCCGGTAAATTTCTGAATTTGAAGTTCTATCGTTTTCCAAAAGAAACTTGGAATATTAATTCAGGTATTTCTCACATAAAATAAATAAATTTATAATATTTAAAAAAATAAATAAATAAATAATTCAATTTAAATTTTAAATATAGAAAATATAAAACTATTTTCGATCGATGATAGTGTTATAATCGATATTTATGCCAGGAACACTTTTCACCCGAATCATTTATGAATCCAGTTTCAAAGAAATTAAATTAATCTGTATATTCTAAAATCAATGCTGATACTAAGCACTACTCATACATGTTTACACGTGTGGTATTAGT